CACACTCTGACATTGTGCTGGACTCAGGATCTGATGTGACACTTCTCCCAATTGCAATGGCAGGCATTGGAAGTCCAGCCACACTGACGCCTGGAACTTTTCTCAGAGATGCGCAGGGTAAACAGATTTTGACATCTGATGTGCGTGATGTCACATTCATCTTTCAGACAACAGATGGACAATCCTTGCGTGTGAAAGAGAAGGCATTTTTCAGTGACAAGGTGGACGTTCCTTTACTTTCATTTGGGAAGTTGATCAGAGCAGGTTGGGGTATCAAATCATCTGGAACTGACAGTTCTCCAATTCTTGCACATTACAGTGGATCTTGCGTGGAACTCAGTTTCAGGAACAATTCACTTGTTGTCTCAGGTGACATTCGAATGGTGCAGTCAGTAAGAGCAGTATCAGTTGATGTCCCACGTTCATGGCATGATTTGAGAACAGGTTGGTATACTGTCAATGATTTTCCCATTTGCAGTTCAAATGCAGCGCACTTCATCGACGTGACAACAGATTATCTTGTGGTTGATTGGCCTTTTCGAACAACAGTTGCATACCACGACATCAGAGGTTGGGAAGTCATTGAGTTGTGTGAACGTATATTTCCAATGGCAGAGAAAGCAGCTCCTATTGTGGAAGGTGGTTATCAACGACTTTTGACTCTCCTTTCAAAGACAGAGCTTTGCATTTCTGATTTTGGAATGGCAATTGCAGAACCTGTCACAAGTGGTGGTGCTTCAGGTTCAGCTTCAGCTGGAAATGGTGCAGGTGACATTGCCATGGGCGCTACAAGTGGTGCGCAGGAGATTCAGTCAGATTTGCAAGAGGTTGAAGTTTCAGTTGAATTGCCACAGTCCATTGCAATACAACCGAGACCTGACCATGTGAAGATAGCTGGAGTTGACGTTTCATGCACTTCTGCAATCAGTGTCTTGAAGGCAGCATGCTCTGATTTACAGGTGAGCCAGTCAGGCAGCAAATCAAGGTTGTGGTCAAGGATCTTAGCAGCCCTTGACAAACGTGCAATTGAAGCTGAACGAGAATTGGCTGCCGTGGCCCTGGATGAGAGTCAGAGAAAAGCAACAAGTGTTCAGACAGCAGAACCTCCAGAAGATGCTGCAGTGATTGCAACCCACAATTTGACACACATGCCATACCAACAATGGTGCCCTGCTTGCGTGATGAGTAAGGGTAGGCCTGAACAACACCGCAGTGATCCTAGCTTGCTTCAACGCCGTGAGATGCCAGTTATTTCATGGGATTTGTGTTCCAGTGGGAAAACTTGTGAAGCTGTGGAAGAAACAGATGGCCAAGCAAAACTTACAGCGCTTGTTGTCCATGACTCACACAGTGGTGCTGTGCAGTGCATTCCAATTCAGAGCAAGAAGCAGACGAAGTTCATGGGTGCAGAAATTTTGAGATTCATCAACTTTCTGGGATATGGAGATGTTACTCTACGTTGTGATCAGGAACCTACCACCCTGCAGGTTCAAAGGTATGTTCAACGTGCAAGACAACAACTGAACTTGCGTACAGTGGTTGAGAACTCAAGAGTGCTTGATCATGGTGGAAACTCTGCAGTTGAGAAGGCAATTGATAGAGTGCGTCTTCAGGCTTCAACTTTTCTGCATCAACTGACACAGAAAATTGGTTTTGAAGTGCATCCACAACACCCAATCTTTGCATGGGCATTTGTGCACAGCGCGTGGATTTTGACTCGGTTTGGAGTCACAGCAGGTGTGACACCGTATGAGTTGATTTCAGGTCACAACTACAACTCAAAACTCTGTGAATTTGGTTGTCCTGTGATGGTTTACGTTGGAGACAGTGTGCAACAGAAGACAGATGCAAAGTGGAGGAAAGGATTTTTTTTGGGAAAAGTTTTAACCAATGACATGTACCTGACATCAGTTGCAGGAACAGTGAAACTTACAAGATCGATAAAGGCGCTCTTTCCAGCGTGGCAAGAGCACATGGAGGAGTACCGGCAGGTGACAGTTTTTCCTTGGCAGTTGGAAGGAACTCTGGGAAATCGAATTGTGCTAACACTACGCAGTAGTTCTTCAGGTGGTGTTGCAATTCACGCTCTTGATGATGAAATGGGTGAAGACCCACCAGATGATGCAGATGAGCCGGTGCCAGCAACTCCAATTCCAGATTTGATCCCAGTGCAGCCCGCAGTTGGAATGCGGCCTCCTCCACCAACAGCAGTTGTGAGTGACCCAGATGGAGGACGACCAGTGGCAGCAGCAGGTGGTGCCAACGAGACTTCAAATGAAACCCCAACACCAGAGGGTACTGAGCAGGCGGGGCTTCCTGCCCCAAGTCTTGGACCACCTGGACCAATGACACCACTTGGCATGCTAGCACCAGCAGCTATGCCCAGTGATATGGATGTGGAAGAACCAACAGAGCCGAGCGCAAAGCGACAGAAATTTTCAGCCTTGCGTGTGGGAGATGAGACACTTTTTCACATGGATGTTGAAACTGGTGAATACATGGAAGAACTTGGTGACAGTGCAGTTGATTTTTCATGTGAACTTGATGCAAGTGATGAAATGTTTGACTTGGAGGAAACGACAACTCATGAGCTGACCGAGGATGATCTGTGGCAGCCCTTTTCACAGTTCGAACCTGAACTTCCATCAGAAAGGTTGCAAGTCATCGATGATTTTGCAGACAAGGTGGAAATTCAAAGACTGTTTGGCATGTCAGTGCTTTGCAAACATGGAGGCTATACAGGGAAGCTTGGCACTCAGCTTAGCGCAAAGTTTGTCAGAACATGGAGAAAGAAAACCCTCCTCCATTTCGTGCACAAGGCTCACATACTCATCTAAAGTGTGGTAGGAGATATCCTCTGCTATTGGCCACTACCGTTTCAGGAACTTCTGCCACCACTTCAAGAAAAGAGGAGTCATCGCCTGCATTGCTGCCATCCGTGGCATCCGAGGAGTCTACGTTGAGAACTACCCGTCTTGGCAAGGCACTGTCATCATCGTCCTCACTGTCTGGGTTATCTGGATCAGTCGAACGGAGGACTTGGAACTGGTTACAGATCGTAATTTGTCGCATCATGGCCTACCTGGTGCCCTTGGTGTCCGTTGCCAGCCACCGGACACCGGTGTTGGCAACGGAGTGATACCGGAGAGATACCGAGGTGGTTCGTGGGGACCCCAGCCACCGGACACCGGTGTTGGAGTCCACCACTTGCCAGCACTTTGTGGGGGGGGCCAAGCCCCTGATACAAACCTCCTATAATCGATGACACACAAATTCACGTACCTTAAACCAGGACAAATTGTGTGAAATTGTCGTGGATTGTCGTGCGGCTACTCTATTAGGCGTAGAGAGCCACAAAAGACAAGGGCTGCGGTGAGTAACTCAGTGAGGCAATACCCACTAACTGACTACTACTGACATAACAGCAGAGATCTTCGTTAGGTTGAAAGCTAGAGTTGTTACTGTTCATGTTTGCATGGCATCTGAAACGATTACTAAACCAATCGCCTGACACAACAACCTTTCAATTCGCATCACAGTGTGGGTAGGGACGCTCAGTAACAAGGCATAACTACACTGATTACTTACATGGTGGATCATGCATGTGCGGTTCGCATGTGTGTGCATCATGTAAGAGATGAATTAAATACACAAAACATCTATATTACAGGCCAACCAAATGCATTGTGAAGACGCCAAAGGAGACAAGTCGCATTCTGCATGGCAAGAGGAGCACTCTTTTTCCCGAGGCGGTCTATCGTCGGTCGAGGCATTTGCAGCTGACTGGTAATCTTCAATACATGGTCGCACCGTTAGTCAACAGTGTAGTGGTTTTCCGAAGCGACTGAACGTTCGTTGAAGCATTGGCAGCTGGCTGGAAGTCATCAACACATGGTAGCATGGTTAGTCAACAGGTTCCAAGGTCGGAGACGCACCTAGATTAGTCATCCATTTGGCTTTGGCTTTGCCATTTGTTTCGCATGCTTTGCAGAACGACCTTTCTTGAACGCTTTGGACTTGGTTCACAACCCTTTTTGTTAAAGGCATTGCTCAGTCTTTCCCAATTTTTGGGTGGGAAAACGAACACAGTGAGTAGGGAGGGTACAAAAATTGGACCTACGCTTCGATGAGGGTCTCCCTCCCTCCCACCGCTTGATATGAAAAACGTACATGCAACACATAATCAGCATGTATATGCCGGGATGTTTATGTGTACATGTGGTGACATCGTTATTCAAACTTTTCTTCATGCATGAAAACCCTTAAGTTTCCACAGCAGTGTATATAAACATATATTCACTGAACATAAAATCATCACAAAAGCCCACTTGTAAAACGGCATGATGATTCTCGAACACATTTCAAAACAGTTGGTATCAAAGTCCTTTAACCTTCCAACAACATGAGTTAACAGGAGGTGTTACTTCACACCAAAAGTTTCTTTGAAAATACCCAGTTGTTCTTTGGAGGTAGGAGGACAGAGAAAACAAAGAGGAGAGGCTTCAGTTCAAACGGTTTGAGTTTCTCTTTGTTTTTTTTTGAGGAGTGGGATGCTTATCCCGATTCAAAGTCAATCTATAAACACCTATTGGCAAGCCAACGGGGATCTTATAGATTATTTTGAACTCCTCATAAAAGTCGTGGTGCATATATATATATATATACACACATCTACATACCTTATATAGGGGGGAAAGGTATTATGCGTTCGCCTGCTTATGCAAAACATCATAACCCTCGCGCCCCTACAAACGTCAAACACAAGGTATGCCTACTTACGCACAACAGAACATCTCAAACGTAAAACTTAAAACCTAAAAATATCAGCTGACCGCAAAACAAGTGGAGTGAACATGTAGCTCTCGCAAATCGGTCTTTTTCTCGCTGATGGCAAGCACGGGGATTAGTCATCTATTTGGCTTTGGCTTTGCCATTTGTTTCGCATGCTTTGCAGAACGACCTTTCTTGAACGCTTTGGACTTGGTTCACAACCCTTTTTGTTAAAGGCATTGCTCAGTCTTTCCCCGGTTCGCTTCAGCATCACAAACTTGCAAGAGCTTTTCCTGCTATTGGACAGCTTGGAAAACATCTTTCAAACGGTTGTAAGAAGCTTAACTCATCCCATTTCCCGCGGCTTGGCGGGTCCGCCACATTGCTTGCAGAAGGAACTCTCGCCATCCAGACAAGGCTCTCGGCATCATTATCCAAACGTTCCAGTTCCAGTAGAAGTTGTCGCCAAAGTCTCAATGGTGAGGTTCCTTTCACATAGACATCAATAGCTGCCCAGTTATCGCAGAAAAGTATCACCCTACGGCCACGAAGCAAGTGAGCCCATTGTTTCATTGCCACAACAACTCCATACAGTTCTGTAAGGCCAACCGGATGAGTCAGTTCTTCCATCCAGTCTTGCAACACCTGTGAGTCCACGTGTGTTCCAAAAACCTGTGTATCATCATCAGCAAAAATCACACCTCCTATTGTAGCCTCCACGTCACCAGAAGTACCGGGCTCCACCGCCCCATCTGTAAAAATCAAGACAGGTTTTTGTGGTTCATCCACAGAAACTCGCTTGGGTTCTCCAGAGTCGATACGTGCCAGAAGAATTTCAAATGCAGCGCGTGAAACATCATCCAGTGGCACGCTTTTCTTCACATGTTCGTTCTTTTCCCAGTCTCTGATATCCGCCATCGCCAATTTGCCATGGCGGCCTGCAATTCGTAGTTCTGCGCTGTACCCTTCCAAGGATGGCTGGAAGGTTTGCCACTTCCAACGCATTATGTTGTAATATGTTTCTCAGCTCAGAAACCAGCTCTCTTTTGCGCGACTCTTTGTTATCCACTTTGATGAACTTCTTGTCCGAAGTGTCGACGACCACCCCAAGCATTTCAGTGGAGTTGGAAAAGGGTGCAAGCTTGTCACTTGCAAACCGAAAACCCAGTAACTGAAAAAGGCCCTCAACGCAGGATTGTGTCGACGCCATTTGACTGCCATGTGTCACGCAAGGATAGTCGTCAAAATAATTCGACCACCAAAGGTTAAGTTCCAAGCCCAGCCGCCAGATCAATCTTGCTGTGCGATTGAAATGTAAAACACTCGCCGTACTCCCAAAGGGGAGGGTTCTCATCAAGAAGCATGCCGGGCACCCAGTAGCAGGGTCTTGCAGAACCACTACGGTGCAATTGTATTCAGCAGGATGTAGCGCAAGTTGTTTGTAGGCGCTTTCAAGATCGAAGGCCGTAGCAAAAAGTTTCGGTTCCAAGCCCCTCCAAGACGGGTGCACTGCTGCCCTCAACCTGCTGCCATCACTTAAACAGAAATCCATGTTGCCCCCAAAGATGCAAAACCTTGTGATAATCTGCAAACACCAAATAGTGTAGTCCAACGCGTGAAGGTCAATCTTCTCCCCGCTGCTGAATGCTTGGTTCAGCCGATTCTCCTTCATATCGTCAATGGGCCTGACTTTACCACGCTGAAAAACTGAGAACCTTCTGACTGGCAACCACCTGTCAAACATGGCGTCCACTACACTAGCCGAATAGGGTCCCTCCAGCCAGTGTTTTTCTTGTGCCTCTTTCATGGTGATTGCAAAGAGCTCGTCAGCATGTTCGTCCCTATGAAAAGGCGACACGACCTTCCCAAGCAAGAGAGGTTTAAGAAACTTTGCATCTTGCATCAGCTGTTCTTTGTCGAAGGCTGCCGGTCTTACCTCAGTCCTGAAAACTCCAGTTGGTGCAGCATAACCAGTGAGCATAAAACCTTGGCGTAGCTCTTGATGCAATTTTGTATCCGGCCAATCTATGGTTGTGGCCAGCTTCTCCAAAAGTAGCAGCTTTTTGCCTTCAAGTACATGGGAAACTTTCTCATGCAGCTGGCTCTGAAACATCATTTCATCAGCCCTAAGCTCCTTTTCCCATTCAGTCCACAGTTGCAGTGTTTTAATGCGCTGCTTCGTCATCTCCATAGGGCCAATTTTTAGGCAGTTGAAAATGCACCTAATCAAGCAGTCTGGTAAATTGCGCAGCTCATCAAAAGGGTGCCACAGTTGCCTTGCGACACTAACAAACTGTTGCATGCTTCGAAAAATTCCAAAAACGTACATCTGTTTACCACCCTGTTTTGCTTCAGATCGTAACAACTTTGCACCGGATGGGACTCCCATCCAAGAACTTGTCAACGTCCGTTTGTCTGTCAAAGGTGGTGCAGTTTTGGCCAGAATACTGCGCACAGCTGCAAATTCAGAAATAATTTGTGGCACCCCACGACCCTTCGTTTGTTGTTGAGGTTTGACCTTGTCGAGGTTGATGTCCAAAGGTCTCTTGTCAAGCGATCCAAAAACCATACGCTCGAGAATATTGGCATACTGCTCACACAGTGCTCCGGGGTATTCAGCCTCCTTGGCTGTGTTGAATTCCCCTTTTTCATAGTCGTATCCCCATCCTTTGTGCGGATGGGTTCCATCACAGAATTTTTGAGAATTTTTCCAGCGCCAGAAATTGCGAAGAACTGCACAGGAAGGCTGTGTTCTTTTTACGTTCACCACCATACGCACATGCATGCAGCTTCACAAAGTGTCCATGGGCCAATGCAAAGCTCATCTCAGGCAACTCCCACAACCAAGAATTTGTAGGATTCTCAATTGACCATGTAATTCCTTTGGCATGTAGAAAACGCACAAACCTGTCTGCCCAGGCATACAGTTCATTTGCAGCTTTGACTTTGGCTGCATCTATATCGGACAGTCCATCCAATCCATGTAAATGGTCGGCATCTCGCAAAGGAGGAGGGCCCGGCTTACCATCCGGCAAAGGTATGCCTCGTGCCTTTGAGCACGTGCCGCAGGGCAAAGCTATGTGGACCCCTGCAACGTGATAGTCATTCACAATGCGGTGTAGCAGCTGTTCTGCGTAGGGTGTTGTTAAATCCAGAAAAACAAGCCTGCATTTTGGAACGTGGCGATTTCGTGGGCAGTCAATTGGGATAACTTGGAAGCCTCTTTGTTGTACAACTGAACTCAATATACCACAACCAGCACATGCCTCGATAGAAATTGGTGTGTCCTTGTAACCAGAAAAGCTCGAAGAAGTTGCACATGAATTATTTGGGCGCTTGGTTGGAGCGCCTACATCTGCTTCCCCTGCCTTAGGCATAGGGCCATCTTTGCAAGTAACTGCCGGACTAGCTTGTCCCTGCTGTAAAGTCGGCGCAGGAGTCCAATGCTTATGGACCCCATCACCTGTCACAGCTGCAGCATCCAACTTAGTCGAGCTGCTTTGCTCAAAATCCGGCCGTCGCTTACGGCTGACACCAGCATTGGTGTCACAGTCAACTGACTCCTCGTCACCTTTGCTCGAGAGTCAGTTTGTTTTCTTGTTGGGGCACTCCAGGGCAGGATGCGGCTTCAAGCATCCTTTAATGCAGCACAGGTGGAGTCCACGATCGCACTTTTGTCCACTGACATTGGCTTGACATGTTTTCAAAGTGTATCCAAAACATAAGCGATTACCCTTGGGGGTTGCACCAACAGCACCAAGCTTCAAAAGGTCTGGAGGAATCCTCTGAAATGGCGTGGAAGGGCTTGAAGGGGTCTTTCCCTGTCCCTTTCCTTTTCCACCGGTTTTCGCACGTTTGTTTGAAGGGTCTGAGCTAGGCGCCAAGCCTTCTTTGGTTGCTTGACCAGTGGGCGCCATGCGTGGCTGAAGCAGATGCCTAAACTCAGCACAGTTGAAGACCTTATCAAACACTTTGTCACATGGGCGGCCATCTTGGGCTGCTTTAATACCAGCCCTTGTCTCTTCACCCATCAGCACGAAAAACTTCTTATCTGCAATCTCAAGCTGTTTCATGGTGACGCGTTGGTAGCCACTTGGCGGCTCTTGCATCCGCACATCAAGCAACAGCTCAACCAACATGTCATGCTTTGCATAGTCCATTATGTTAGCTTGATCCATGGCCAGGCCCCTTCTAACCAGAGCGTATCTAACTTGGATTTCTGTCATGCCTTGCATCGGCTCGATCTTTGAGGTCCGGGCCAGCTTCAAAGTCCCATCGTTGCTAAAAGACAGGTCAGTGTCTTTCTTGACATTGTTTGCAAGTTCATATTCACGACTAATGCAAAGACTCCACTCTATGTATGACAGCCTGTCGGACTCATTTGCAGCGCAGCATTTGTCCACTAAGGCATCAGCTGGTTCATACTGGCCTCTGATGGCCAATCCTTTCAACTTCTGCTGTTGGATCTTGAGTCGGTCAGCACGTTCTGCTGGTGCAAGGCGTCGTGTGACACTCTCGTCCGTCTGTTTTACTTGGGACTTTATGTCTGCTGCAACCTTGGCATAACTCTCATTAAAAAGTCTTCTGAGGATACTGAGCTCTGCTGGATCAGGGTCCCGGCCCAGCGTCGCCGAGATCATCTCCAGGAACGGCTTGTCAGTTGAAGCTCGCAGCGAGTAGTTGCATGAAAATGCAAACATTGCCATGTTCTTGTATCCTTTATCCACAATTTGCTTCAAAACATCAGCACTGAGACCCATGTGCAAAGCCCTCTGTTCAAACACTGCTGTGCTGTCTCCGTATGACATGGCAGCGCTTAAGGAGCTGACGCTGGCTTCGCGTCAGGTTGCAGCAGTTCAAAGAAATTTCACAACACCACTGAAATGACAAAACTGTTCATGATTGACATGTGAAATCAGTCAGAGTTTGCATATGCACCCCAAAACAAAAATTTGAAAAACTGGCAAATTGCAACTCATGCGGCATGACATCAGTGTGCGATTTGCATTCCCAACCTTCGGGTTCCGCTTCATCCGTTGCTGTTGGAACGGGCTGCAATGCATTCAACTCAAACCCTGACATGAAATCACGCTGTGCAACTTACATTAACAACTCATGCATGTGAAATCCAAGCATCACCACTGATTTGAAGTTTTGACCTTGCATGGATCAAACGTGAAATTCTGCATCAAAAGAAGTTTGTTTCCGAGTTTCGGACGTTTGTTTTGGTTTCACTGAAAAACTCCTACACCCAGCTGACAGCATTTTTGCCCTCGGATCATATCCACCTGGGTCACGCCAGATGAGACAGCTAAGCCTTGAAGCAACCGCTGCAGACTGGATGCATGAAAGACGGCTTTGTCAGCAAAATGATGTACCTGGCATTGACACTTCTGCCACACGAAAAATGGGTTCCAGACTCATCGGCAATTGAATGGATGTATCGCGAAATGCGATGTCTCGCAAATTGTTGCCCTGGAATGTCAGCGCCTTTCGGCGACCATTTTCCAACCATCTAACTCTGCCACCACTGCTTCTTCCTCATCCGGATTCCCTTCTTCTTCGCTGGCAGAATCTCGACTTGAACTGCCGTCAGATACAGCGTCTTGTTGTTCCACAGCAGCGTCTTGTGGAAGCTCTTCATCAGCAGCAAAGTATCCGGAGCGGTTTGCATCTGGAAAGAAACGTCTGTCTCTAATGGCAGATATCATTGATACCAACTTCCTCAGCGGTGCACTCATTGCATCTCTCGAGTATGTCAAAAGGGATCGATCTTTTCCTTCACTATGGTAGCCAAGAAATCTCCGGCTGTCATAGTCCATGCCAAATTTGGCTGCCATCGCCAAGAAAGTCGCCTTGCATGAGTGCGTGGCTACTCTGTCACGAGCCGCACTCTCAATCTTCAGCAGCGACCTCATCCAATCACCAGCTGCTCCCACTGACAAAGGTACCGGCGACCATCCTCCACCCAGTTGAGGCGAAGGTAGCATAGGGTGTGGTGGCCGGCCATTCAACCCCGCTTCATCGCGGAGATCCAGCCATGTGGGTACCCAGCATGGTTCGCTCAAGGATTCCAAGGGGATGGCAACTGGCAAAAATCTTACTTTCCTTTCCAGTGTCACCGAAGTCTTTGTGCGCTCAGCTCGAGCTTCCAGAAAACCCGACAGCCTGCCGCCACGCTCTGTTGAGTCAAGCTGCAAGTCCACAAGCTGTAGGCCATCACTGTACCTCAGACGTCCGTAAACAAGCAGTAAGAAAAACCCAGCTGCGATGCGATCGTAATTGGATCGCCCCACATCTCGCACCGTTGCTTCCAGAGCCACGATTTGATCGACAGTCAGCGGTGGCCGTTGTACAATCTTGCGCCTGTCGGCATAAAAACAGTCGGCAACCCCTTTCACCCTTCCAGACTTTGCTGGAACGTTTCCTCCAGCTAGTCCAAAAATGTGAAATGCAAAAGACAACGACACCAGCAAGGATCTCGGGGCAGTTGGAGCCCATGTGGACTGTGCTTTGATGTAGTCATACACCATCCATTCTTGTATTGGGAAAAATTCCAACCCTTTGTCCTTCCAAAACTTTGCAAACTTGAGCAACGGTCCAGCTCGTGCATGTAGAGTTGCAGTTGCCTTTCCAGACAACGAATCTACCACAGATTCCATAAGACCGCCACCTGCCAAACGCATGCTGTCACCAGAAGCTACACTCCTTCCCAGCGTCCATGCACTCAGTTTCATCAAGATGAGCGTGCACCATTTTTTGCATGCACATTTTCTTTCCCAGCTAAGCCGCTCTTCCCACAACCGATGGTCTGCTGCCTTAACAGCCTTCAATCCCACCTTAGAAAAGGCATCTTCGATGAAAGCTGTCTCAGTTGTATCTGCAAATTCACCTGGAAAACACGGCAAAGGCGGCATTCTGGAACTCCAAGTAGGAAGTGAAAAAGCATCCGATGGTGTCCACATGGTTTTGCTCATCTTGAGGTCCCATGGCATGGTATGCAGTGTCTTCGTTTGTTTTCTGTTCCAACAAAACTGAGTATGCTTAAGGTATGCATCTGGCGTTCTTGTAGACCACTCATCACTGATATCTTGTTCCCTGGTCCGCTTATAGCTCATCTGTACTGTCTGAACTACTGTCTGCACTGCTGTATGATGCCACAGGTGGAGTAGGCACTGTCCACGCTGTCAGGCACCAACCCTGGCGCCACTCGGTGGCCGCAAGTGCAACTTCAGCCCTGTCAGTCAAGACAACGCTGCAAACCAGAGAAAAACGAGCCTGTGAAAAAGAATCCAAGAACCCGGCGACTCTGAAGGTCACTGCAAAAAGTCTCCAGACCAGATGTAGGAACTGGCAAGAATTATATCCCTGCAGAAAACGCTCCAGAGAGCAGGTCAAACTCATTCACAGCTCTGTATGGGGTAAGTCCAATGATGGTACCAAAAGCCACAAAAAGCAGCAAATCCACCCGCCAATGAAAGAAAAACAGCAAAGGGCCCACACAGGGCAGCCAAGCTCGCGGGATGGAGGCCGCAAAATGGCAATCGCGCCCCTTGCACGAACGTCCATACAAAAATTGGACCTACGCTTCGATGAGGGTCTCCCTCCCTCCCACCGCTTGATATGAAAAACGTACATGCAACACATAATCAGCATGTTTATGTGTACATGTGGTGACATCGTTATTCAAACTTTTCTTCATGCATGAAAACCCTTAAGTTTCCACAGCAGTGTATATAAACATATATTCACTGAACATAAAATCATCACAAAAGCCCACTTGTAAAACGGCATGATGATTCTCGAACACATTTCAAAACAGTTGGTATCAAAGTCCTTTAACCTTCCAACAACATGAGTTAACAGGAGGTGTTACTTCACACCAAAAGTTTCTTTGAAAATACCCAGTTGTTCTTTGGAGGTAGGAGGACAGAGAAAACAAAGAGGAGAGGCTTCAGTTCAAACGGTTTGAATTTCTCTTTGTTTTTTTTGAGGAGTGGGATGCTTATCCCGATTCAAAGTCAATCTATAAACACCTATTGGCAAGCCAACGGGGATCGTCCGCATCATGTCCATGGTTTCTTTGATGGTAAACTGTTCGAAGGCGTTTGTGTACCCGTTCAGATGCCTGCATGACTAACTTTTGGTATTGAAAGAGGACTCCTTGATATCGGAGCAGCTCGTCAACCTCCATGTTATCTACTCTTGCATCAGACACTAAGGTTACTTGCTGCACTATTGGGGGTTCAGAACAGAGTTCCGTCTCATCTTTTCCTTCCACTGGTGTACGAATGGGAGGCCGTTCTTCTAGGCCAGGTGTGTCCAAGGTCGGAGAGTCTGTTTGTCCAGCTGGGGCAGATGTGTCCAAGGTAGGGGAGTCTGTTCCACTCGGCGTTGGTTCATCACGAACTTGTTGTTGTTCATCATTGGAGCAGGAAACAGTGACCATAATTTCAGGCGTACCTGGGTTACTGATTGCACCTTGCTCTGGATCCTTAGGGTCGGGGCTTCCTGGAGTTGGTGGCACGTCAGGAACAGCCGCTGTGCGCAGTGTGGCAATCTGACAGGCCGCAATCTTGGCAGGCTGGCATGCATTGGATGTCGTGGTAGTATCTGTCGGCTGTCGGATCGCGGTGAGTTCTTCCTGGGTGCTTCCGGGTTTTTTGCTGGCTTATGGCCGCAGCTTCTTGCGGGGCAGCATTGGTAGCTTCCGGCAGTCCTGGGCGAATCTGTAGTGAAGGGGGCTCAAATCGACTTGCCTGAGCATTGATTTGTGAAAGCATCCTAAAGTACCTGCGGGCTTTGTCATCAGCTTCTGCAGTGCGCCTTGGTGGGTCTGGTGGCTTGGGCGGTTGGGGCGGTCTTGCCTCAACCGCAGCGCTGTTTTCCCCTGACGGTGCTAGAGGGTTAGCATTAGTCCTCTGGGGCTGTGCAGGGGCTGTCTCACGACCTAACAGCTGTCGGGCTCGTAGGATGCGAGGCTTCAATTCCGCTTCTAGTGCTTCTGGAAACGTCGAGTTGGTCTCCGCCAGATACTTCACAGTTTCTTCATGAGTCCACAGCGAGGTGCGACATAGCTGGATGGTAGTCCGGTTTCCTTCTTCTTGCGTCCAGAATTGGGGCCATTGAGGGATCATTTGATGGTATACAACAATGAATTGCAATATGAAGTCCAATTTCTTCTCTTCAGCAAACGTCAACAAACCATTGGCATGCACTCTGATCCACATATCTTTGCTGAAGGGGCGTACGACCTTGCGCGTACACCCTCGTTGGTCAAAGAGGGGAAGCTCCACAGTATCATATTCACGAGACACATCATACTTGTCGCCATGTGTAGACCATGCAACGTCTGACAGGAGTTTGTCCTTACGTCCATGGTTGACTTTTTGCCAGAAATAGTCATCCAATTCATTTTCAAGTGTGTCGGCACAGGCGGCAATGAGGGTCCACGGAACTTCATCAATGTGTGTCTGGTATTTGAGAATTGAGATGTCATACGAAACTGATTCTTGACTGATCGCAAAATAAAATTTGCCAGCAACTCTATGCATGCTGACACTTCCTTGCCTGTTCATGCTCAGGTTCAGGTTGCTAGTTATGTCATTCGTGGTTGTGTTCCACAGCTCGATGTCACCTTTGCCGTAATGTTCATCTTTGGGCATGGCTTCACAACCACTCTTGGGCCACCAAGCACACTTGAGGCTGTCTGTAATGGCAGAAAATCGGAGAGCTACAACACCAGGGCCGTGCAGAGGGACACCCAGAGATGGCCACTGGTGGGTAGTATATGCAAAAACAGACTTGTCGGAATGCAGCGAGGACCACTGAACAAGGCTGTCCCACCAGAGCCGTGCAATGGGACACCCACAGATGGCCCTGGTGGGGAGTATGGGCAGCGCAAGCTCGCTGGAATCGAAGAGGTCACACTACTCACAAGGTCACCCACCAGAGCCGTGCAGAGGGACACCCAGAGATGGCCCTGGTGGGTGACTGTTGCAAAAATCGTTGGGAGGCTCACTGTGCCACAGGAATGCTGCAGCAACGGGTCGCAGAGGTGCACTTGAACCATGACGGCCGTATCGAGTAGACAGTTGCAGCAGGCAGGTTGGGCACTTATGTGAAACCCCAGATACTCGAAGAATTTCTCAATGAGAGTCTGATGATATTCCACGATATAATAGGGACAGGACAGGTACACCTTCTACTACTTTGATCTTCTTCATCCCAGAAAGCCCCTATTCAAAATGAGTTGTATATCGAAGGGGTAGGTTCACAGTGACAGGTAAGTACCTAAGCTAGTTTCGTATCCTAAACACAGACAGTAGTATGACCGAGTCAACAACCTAAGAAACTCCCCGTTCATTCAATGGATCCGGGGATCTAAACTCCTTTTGAAACACCAAAGCCTCGGACGATTCACGCATTCACATGCTCATGCGTTTTGCATGAAACTATGTTTTCTGTTTTGTTTGCACCACGTTTTGTGGAGTTGTTTTCAACTATTGCAAACAGGTAAAACTGAGGTGGAGCGGACTGGCAACATCTAGTTACCCCGCCCTTGGGTTCTGAGGTCCGTTCACTCAGATTCCAAGCTGCTAGATGGCTACTTTACGTAGAAAAACCAAAAAGCAACAAAACGCCACAAACTCATCCACATTTGTGGACTTCCAACTGAAAAACAGCTTGTCACATTGTGAGACATGCTATCTCAGCTGCACTGTGAGATCAGGTTAGCTCACAGCTGCCATCCATTGCAAAGAAAATGCAAATGCCCCTGTGAGATCTCGTTAACTCACAGCGGGACCAACCTTTCTCTCAGTCTTCGTTTTCCATTTCATCATCGTTTCCATGATGGATCTCCATCCATAAGTCTGGATCAGATGCCTCTTCCAAGGAGATGTGTAAGTACCTCCTCAGACGTACTGGAAGACCTTCCGATCCTGAGCTACTTTGATCCATCTGTTCGTTGTTGGCTTCTTCATTGTTCGTTTCTCCATCTGCATTTTCACGGTGTCTTGCTTCTGCTTGTCTCATCTGTCGCACCAAGTCCAATCCAACTTGAAATGCTTGGTAAGCCTGCTGGATCTCGACCTGTTTCTCATCCATCGACAAATGAGCTCTCGGAGACTGATCATCATCAGAGAGATCTGTCATCGCTACCACATTGTCCATCATATTCTGCGATTCCGATGCAGTCATACCTGCAAGGTCATAGCAAACCTTGATCATTTGCTGCAAAGTCTCCATTCGAAACCCATTGAGGACACGCTTGTTTCCACGGCGTGCTCTTCCTTCACACCTGTGGTACATCCAAACCAGCATGCCTTCCACCTTGAACATAGGGTCTGCGAAGACATTTGCAAAGACATGTCCCAGTGAACGGTTGTTCATTGGGTACCGTGATGTCAATGGCTCCATTGCAGGTTCTCGTTCTGCATCTCTCTCGCCATCTTCAGGTTCAGGTTCTCCTTCACCAGGCACCATCAAAACAACAAGCACTCCAAGCAGAATGAACATCGCGACAAACAACGCAAGTGTTATTGGGCTCAGCCATAGCCCATGACCCAAGGCTTCTGCGGTGTCCATTCCAAAGGAGCTTATTTCATTCACCATTCCACTGTCGGATTGTCCCTCAGCAAGAGACATCAAGCTGCATGATGCCAGCACACGCAAGATCTGCTTGGCAAACTTGTGGAGCTTTGTGGTCTGTGTTGCATGACCACTTTCAACCACAACTTCACTCAGAATTCTCACCTGCTGCTTCAAGAGTTCTTTTGTCTGCATCCTTGCATATTCTGTTTCTCCAACTCTGTCACCATCAGCTGAAAAGTTAAACATGTAAAGCAAGCAAAAGTATCGATCTCTGCTCAGCGGTTTCGTGTTGAGGTCCGCAATGTTCAACGCTGTCTTCACCTGTTTTATCTGTAAGTCACCAGAAGCTACCTTATCCTGCAGCCACAGCAAACGACCTTTGATGTGTCGCAGGCGTCCCGCTCCCAGCTTGACAGATAACATCCGCACAGCACTGTTGTCTGTATGCAAAACCAAAGGACTGATGTCCCCATCACAGAGAAAAGAGAGTATGTGGTGGAGGTAAAGTCCATCACATGTTCCTGAGCTTGCCGCATACCATTCAGACTCCGTACTGGATAGGGAGACACATTTCTGTGTCCGACTGCTTGAGTGGACAACTTGTCCATTCAACACATGCACTGCTGACGATGTGGAACGTTGGTTGCCTGACCCTGACCAGTCGGCATCAGAGAAGGTTTCAAGGCAATTGGGCCTCTGTTCATCATTGTTGCATGCACCATTCAGAGTTTCTAGAAAACTGCTTCCTTTCACCACCTTGTTCATCTCAAGCGCATAGTTTTCACTCTGTTTCAAGTACCCTATCAGTTTTCCAATCTCACGCCATGAAGACATTGTTGGCTGTTTCAAACTCGACGCAAGAGTTTTGACACTGAATTGCACATCAAAACGCTGTTGACTGATGTACATCGCCACGCCCACAAGAGAGCGAAATTCAGCTGCCATGCCTTCTGACAGAAGTTCAGCCGTCTCATTGTTACTTCCGTTTGGCGTGACACTGCAGGGTGTCTTTGACATCTTTGCTGCTTTTCCATTCACCTTCTCAAACCTTTCCCACAACGTATGCACATGTTTTGACTCTGAGAAAACAGTCAACTTTTCATAGCTGGCTTCAACAACATGTAGCCTCTTGAGAAATTCGAAACTCCCACCTGTTGTACGGTCCACCACTGTGCTGGTCAACCTGAATTCCTTCTCAAGTCCAGGCAGAAACACATTGTTGATCCAAGACTGCTCTCCTAAAAAGAGTATGTCATCCACATGCATGACCATTGCAACTTTGCGTTCAACTTTCAACACGCATGGTTGTTCCTTGCATACTGTGGCACCAAACAGCTTCTGCAACTTCTCCACAAAGAACTGGTACCACAGTTTCGAAGCATCACGTTGACCTGGCAAACAGCGCAAAATCACGTAATCATCTGACCCCAAACGAACAACTCTCGGAACAAGCTGTGGTACTTGAAGAAAAGCATCACCAATGTCTAAAGTTCCAAGTACACTAGTTTCACAGAAGCTTTCTGACATGCAAAGCGCTCGAAGCAACTTGACAATGGCTGCACTTGAAGATGGACTGTAAACGTCATCCCTAACATCCAACCAGTTGTATTCACGAGCCACAAGCCGTGAACGCCTGAGCCATCCTTGCTGGCTGGACACGACATGCCCATCTACATCATGTTGCAATCACCTGACCACACCAACAGGTATGGATGAAGCAGGGCACCATTGGCGATGGGCTGATGTCGGATCGTCGCATGTCCCACGAGAATCGCTTGAATACCCCACGTTGCAGAGGGATACAGGTGATGGCCCGCACAATATTTCTGGCTGTGCTGATTATCGCTAATTATTTCAATGGATCACGCTCCACCTCACTTGGCTCCATGAGTATGATACTGTCTATGTTCTCCTTGACAATCGAGCACTCAACGATACTCACCAACCTGCACATTGGCAGTATTTTGCACCGTTGATCAAAGGTAGGGGAGACAATATTGGCCCATTTAAGGAGAAAACCACCGCCATCCATGTCCCAATCAGTGAAGATACAGGCCTTACATCAGTGCATTACACATGGGCAGGCACCTTTGTTCTGGAAGCGTTATGCCTAGTCTACCCTACAGTGAACTTTGCATTGATTGACTCGGACTGTGCCCCCACATCCCTATTTGAAATAGCCGAGCTCGTATGCATTGCAACGGATGCCACCACGGCCACAAACGCCCGGGCGAAGCTCACAATGGGATCATGTACCCACTGCCCGCGAGTCACGAGCCGAGCCCAATGCAGTTGCGACTCAGCGCGCTGATGAAACCTTATTCCTTGCGTAGTTAAAAAGAAGCTGAGTGCAGCTTCTAGTTGTTCCTCCCTTCCTTTAGTTCTGTTCAACGCCTATCTTGCGCCTCTGTGTGTTTCCTCTCTCCTTGCGCGTTGCGTCGCGTCTGGAAACTTCCATGGGTGAGGAAACTTCCTAGTTGGGGTCGTGGTCAGTGTAATTGCTTGGTGTTTGGATGCAAACTCTCCAACGCAATTTCTGTGCATGTCATTTGTACATGTTTGACCCTTTTGTTTTTTGTTTACCCCAACTTGGTTTTTATGTGTGTTCTGTTTGTATCTTTCTTTAGAAACATCTGCAGAACAAATTACACACAGGTGTCATTGAACTTAAATGCCAATGGTGGCCATTTGAAGTTCAATACCTCCAAAGGGAGGGTGGGTGGGAAACGCGTTTCTTACGTGAATCGTTTTTTGTGCAGCTATGGGTGACTGATCTTGTATGGCACTTCAGATGATGTTGGACGACAGACTTTACCGACTGGCTGATTTACAGGAGTTTTGGTTACTTGACGCATTTGAAGTTGCTGTGATTTTCCTGGTGTTTGCGTCTTTGCATACCTGTCCATTGGATACATCAGTGCAATTGGCTGTACGATCTACGGCCTCCATGTTCATTTTCTGGATATCTTGGACAAGCTGGATGGGTTTGGACGCAACCTCAGGAGTCATAGCTAGTGATGACCTTGGGAGTCTTTCTTGCCTTTTCGGTATCCAGGATGTTAATGCAACG